ATTTCATAAAGTACACATATATCAAAACATCATGCAGTGTGGCATTAAACAGTTTTCAAGGTTATGGGCCTGACCAATTAGATGAAGAGTGATACTTTTCACTGGGATGATATTTATTTATTTATTTATTTATTTATTTATTTATTTATTTATTTTTTGAGGCAGGGTCTTACTATGTGGTCCCAGCTGTCCTTCAATTTGTAGCGATCCTTTTTTGCCTCACATCCTGGGACTACAGGTATGTGCCACCACACCCAGCTTGAACTTCTTAACTTTTTTTTTGAGACAGGGTTTCACCATGTTTTTCAGGCTTCCTTCAACTTGCTGTGTAGCCCAGATTGCATGGTAAGTCTCCTGCCTCAGCCTCCCAGAGTGCAGGGATTATGGCTATGTATCACACACCTGGGTCACAACAGATTTTTAAAACATTCACAAAAATATTGTGGTATATAGAACTCCCACATACCCATTGCCCCGCACTGATAGTTCATCTGTGGTTTTCTCCCCATCACCAACACATTTCATGCAAATTAGTAACCGTCTAAATGTGCTAAATTTTAGAATGGCTCCTGTAAACGAGTTTTTATTTATTTATTTATTTATTTATTTATTGTCTTTAAAAAAAATTTATTTATTTGTGTGTGTGTGTGTGTGTGTGGCCAGCTCAGCCCACCAGGGGGCGGGGCTGGCTGGCATGTGGTGCTGGGGGATTGAACTACGGTCCCTGTGCTTTACTAAACTTGTTCTAAGTAGGTGCTTTAGACCACTGAGCCATCTCACCAGCTCCTTTATTATCTTTTTGAGATAGGGTCTCTATATAATTTAGGCTGGCCTTGAGCTGACTTCATAGCCCAGAATGGCCTTGAACTCCCAGTGATCCTCCTGCCTCAGCCTCCCAAGCGCTGGGATTACAGGCATGCACTACCACACCAAAGCCCAGGATTGGCTGTGATCATCCGGGCTGAGGGGCTGGAGAATACAGGAGGGGCACCGGGAGAGAAGCTGAGCAACAGAGACATTGGCAAGGCAGGTCTCCAGAGAAGGGAATTGGACTCAAGGGCTGGAGACAGATGTGGGGGCCACCATGAGAAAGACAAGCCTTTAATGGTCCAGTGCACCTATAATATAGAAACTTCTCACCGTTGTAGCACTGATTCTATTAGGAAAAGCTGACAGCACTTACTTAACTTTATTTTTTTTGGGGGGGTTGAAATGTTAAGTGGTAACTTTAAAGATAAGGTGAATGATTTTTTTTGCAAATAGCTATGCCCGTGAAGATAATCATCTAATGCTTCCAACATCTTTGAGATTGTCCTCCCTGTGCCCTTTCCCTGCCGATCCCCTCACTGTGGAAGCAAGCCCTGACCTGACACCTGTCACCATGGAGTTGCCAGGCCTGTTTTGAACTTCATGTAAGTGAAACGGGACAGTATGTTTCCTCCCTGCTCCTCTTAAATTAGTACATCCGTATGATACATAATAAACACACTCATGGTGGGAAATCAGTACCTACACATACCCGTTTCTGGCCCCTCTGGACTAACAGCCTGTCTTCTGCGTGCCTACTTTCTTAGCTCTTTCTATGCAAATCTCTTTCTGTATGGAGCAGGAGCTTGTTCTGGTTTTCGGTTTGGTTTTTCAGTACTGGAGATTGAGCCCAGGGCCTTGTGCATGCTAGCCAAGTGCTTATCACAGAGCTGCATCTCCAGCCCTTTTTATTACTTTTTAAAAATCTGTGACAAGGTCTCGCTAAGCTGCTCAGGTTACCTCAGATTCACTGTCTTCCTGCCTCAGCCTCCTAAGTAGCTGGGAGTGCAGCCATGTGCCACTATGCACCATGTTGGAGCAGGTTCTTTTATTTCTTTTTTTTTTTTTTTTTTTTCCTTAATGTATTTAGCACATTAAGGAAAGGGTCTACAAGGTCTATGCAGGTGGTACTCATAGTGATCCTCCTGTTTTCAGCCTCCTAAGGGCTGGGATTATAGGCTTGTGCCACCATGCCCAGTCTCAGTCTCTGACTCAGCATGGAGGGGGCACTGCAGCGCTTTAGTCTGCTGAGCTACCTGGCCAGCCCTCCAGAAGCATATCCTTAAGGAAGTGAGACAGGTTGAAGACAGGGCACAGGAGCCACTACCCTTGAACTGAAGGGTCAGCTCATCCTGGTGAAAGGAATGCAAACCTTTCCATTTGACACTCCCAACTGCAAAAAGCACTCTCCTGGCTTTTAGGTGTTGGCAGCTCTTTCCCTCAGCATAAAAGCCCCAAGCGGGTCTTTGCACAGCCAGTTTGGGGCTGGTGTTGAAAGGCTTCCTTTATGAGCTGTAATAAAGAACTGGACAAATCCTGAAGATGCTTGTTCTGGGCAGACAGGCCGGATGAGGGGAGCGCAGTGGGTAGACAAAGGATGTCTGGGAAGGAACAGAAGTCCAGGCTTGGCCTCAGCCAGGACTGAGAAAAGAGAGGTGCCAGGGAGGGGCCTGGGCCAGACCCGGGAGAGCCTGCGAGTAACTAGTAGGGGCGCCGATGCTGGATCTGAGCTTTGGAGATCCGAGCTGCAGGGGTGGCTGCGCAGGACTTCAAAGCCTGGCAAGGTCAGGGCGGCAGGTGCTAGGGGCCGAGGAGTGACAACAGAGCGTTAGAGGACTTCTAGCTTGATCCGAGTAGTGACTGTCCAGCTGAAGGCATTTGTAAAACTTCATTTACATTACACTGAAAATGTGTATTGGGTTGGGGAGATAGCTCAGCAAGTCTAAGCGTCTGCCTAGCAAGTGCAAAGTCCAGGAGTGGGATTCCTAGTACCTCATGCTGTACTGGTCACAAAACCCCTGTAACCCCAGCAGTAGGCAGGCTTGGACAGGAGCATCACTAAGAGTTCAAACTGCATAGAGTGACCCTGTATCAAAAAGGAAAAAAAAAGTGTATTTATGTAAAAGATATCTCAGTTAAAGGAAAAAAGTTGGGCTTTAGAGCTTGACTTGGACAGGAACACTTGGGAGCTGCAGAGCCACAGAGGGGCTTGTGTGAGTGCTCAGAAGGTCCTCAGGGGTACTGGCTGCTGCCACCACGGGCAAGCGCCCACCTCTATGCCCCCTGCGGCCCTGCTGTGAGTGCAGAGCCAGAGCAGAAAAAGGAGAGGGAGCTGGGCAGAACCTCCGGACACAGCCCTGGAGGACAGAGCCCCAGACTCGCTCTGTAGTCTGGCTCCTCAGCAGGGGCTAGGTGTTGAAGACACGATAATGAAAATGATAATTAAAGCGAGTTGCTGCCTGAGTATCTGCAGGAGCCAGGGAGCCAAGTGGCCACGCTCGGGAGCCAGCTCCCCACCTCTTTGCTGTGGCTCCAGGCATGTTTGTGAGTCTCTCTGTGCCTCTGTTTCCTGGTGTGTAAAATGAGCCCTACGGTGCCCTCTTTTGCAAGATCATTTATATAGAGTATAATATGTTGCTTCTTGGCCCAGTAAATATTGTGACAGGGACAGGTTCCTAGAGAGGGCTTCCTGGAGGACCTGACAGCTGAACCAGGGCTCTAGGAGCAGCAGGCGGGGAATTGGAGCACAGAGAGAATGGTCTCAGAGGAATGCTCTTGGCTTAGTAGGGTAGCGGGGCTCCAGCAAGGGTGGGGAGTGGCAATGGCTTTGGAAGCTCAGCCATCCGCTCCTTGAGCTCCTGCCTTTGCTCCCTAAGTGGCTGGCACCCAGGAGGAGGGCAGCAAGGCGCAGTGGGTGGTAGAGGCCCTGATTTAGTGCTGGGGGCTGGGGATTATCAGGGAAATCCAAAGATAGCTCTTGAGAGGACGCTGACTCAGCCTGGGCTTCCCCAAAGTGAGGAAGCAGATGAATCAGCCCTGAAACCAGGATGAAATTGCTGTGGGAGAGAGAGCCGTTCGGGGGCCAAGCCCAGCTGGCCTCTGACTCACTGAGGAGCTTCATGGTAGGGGCTCTGGGCCCAGAACCTCTGCTCTCAGTTTCCACCTCTGTGCAGTGGCATAGGGTGGGCCTCGGAGTGGTTCTGGTGATTTATAGAAAGTGGGTTGGGCGTGGCATGGCGGCACACACCTATGATCTCAGCACTCTGGGAGGCTGAGGCAGGAGGATGGCAAGTTTAAGGCCAGTCTGGGAGGGCAATTTAGATACTGAGCAAGAGCCTGCAGATTCCTCTTGGGCAGATGTGACACAGCTGTGTGGGGTAGGAGGGGCCTGCCTGGTAGTGACTTGCCGTCCAGGCCTGGTGAGGTATGAAGACAGGGAGAAATTAGCAAAAGGGGAGAAGGGCGGGCCGTGCACTGTGTGTGGACATTCATAGCTGTGTGTGGCCCACCCTATGCCACTGCACAGAGGTGGCAGATTGGGGTCAAATCCTGGTTCCGCCATCTACTTGTGTGATCTAGGGTGAGTGGCTCTACCTCTGAAATGTTGCTTCATCTGTCAAATGGTGCTGCCTCCCCACACTCGCTCATAGCCTTAGAGACCTACCTGGGAAACTGAGGTGCAAACAGTGCAAGTGCTTCCCACAGAAGGATCTGCTGGTTTGGAGTATTTAGGAAGAAACAGGAACTGGTTTTGTTCCATGTTTATTACAAAGTACAGGCGCAGAGATTAGTGAGAGTGGCAACCTCCCTCATTCCCGCGCTATTTCTGGGGCTTTGGAAAAAACGGCGTCCTCCTGGCTGTCCACGAGGGGGCGCCGCCTGCCCCGCTCAGACCTGGTTCCTTCAGCGGTGCCGTCCAGCGGTAACTGAAGCTTCCCAGGATCCTGGACTCCTGGCCCTGTCACCTTGGCCTGGTCCCCTCCTCCGCTGGGACCAGGAGTTCTGCCAAAGACACCTACACTTCTTACTGAAAGCCAGAGGTCATCCTCAGCAGCATGGCGGGAGGGCTTTGACGAGGGTGTGTGGGGCTGTAGTGAGCACTTCCGGCTGGGGGCCTCTGGAGGCCCAAGGCTGTCCCCTTGAGCCAGTGTTCCCACGTGGCGCTGCTGCCAGGAGTTGGCCCAGCCCAAGGTCCTTGCACCATAAGGTGCTTTATTCACAGGGCTGGATGAGTAGTCCTTGGCCTCCATCCTGGGAAAGTAGTCAGATTCCTTCTGTGTAGGTCCTGGGGAGACACAGAGATGGGTGGACCATAGGCCAGAGCAGAGGGAAAGGGCAATAGGGAACAGGACCGACTGGGGTGGGGGCTGCAGTAACCAGCTGGGGTGGTGTGTGCACCATGAGGCCAGGGTACAGTTGGGCACCTGGACAGGGATACAGGATAAACAGCTCCACGGTGCTGGGGACAGGCACTGGGGACAGCTGCACAGAAAGTGGCGCCCTAAGAGACCAGCAGGAGAGGAGGAAGCTCCCCCCTGTACTGCCAGCCCAGCCTCAACCAAGAGTCCTTCCCATCTGGCAGAGCCAGAGCCCAAAAGAAAGAGTGGCCTTGTCTCCCAGCCAGAGCCACACCGGCTACTTTCCTCCCGGCCCGAGTCCCAGCCCTCACCGCTACGTGGCCTCCTGCCTGGGTTCTGGAAGCTGCCGAGGGCTCAAGGCAGTGCTGAGCAGCTCACTCAGGGTGTCCAGCTTCCTCCCCAGGGCGTCAATCCGCTTCTCTAGGGTGTCATGTGAGTCACTCAGACGCTGCTTCAAGTCACTCAGGGTCATGTGCATCTGGGTGGGAAGAGAGGGCCTAAGCATCAGGGGCCTGGGTCCCCTCTGCTAAGCAGGGGAGCCAACAATGCGAGGCCTTCCCAGTCCCCAAGGCCCACTCAGCAGTGACTGTTGCCTTTTCCACCAGGCACACCCCAGCCCCTTGCCCAGGTGCTTTGCCTGTGGAGTTTAAGGTCCTCTTAAAAGCTGTGGGGAGCAGAAGCCTTCTCCCATCTTGCCACCAAAAAAACTGAGGCACGGAGCTATTAAATGGCACAACAACGGTGGCACCCAGGGTAGGGCTTGGAATGCAATCAGCGTCCCTTAAATGTGTGCAGTGTTGATGATGCCTGACCTCAAAACCCAGGTAGCAAAACCACCCAAGAACAAAAACCCCAGGTAGCACTCTGGGATTCAGTGTGGGATCTTTGACAGTGAGCTTCCTATGGGAATCCTCAAAATCTGTTGTTCTAGGCGTCCTATCTGCAGACATTACCACCTGCCCCTTCTGGCAGGCCTGCCCCATCACCTCCTCTCACCCGGCCATGCAATTTAGGGACTGTATCTGTGCCTGTGTTTACCATGGCACTGGTGCCCAGGGCCACTGTTTGCATTGTTGTGGACTAGTGAGAAAAAGCAAAGGCAGCCAGACAAAAGTGCCGGCAGCCAAGGGGGTGGGGGTGCCACTGATCCCCGAGCTGCTGGGATCAAAGGTCATGGGGGGAAGAGGAAGCAGGCCCGTCACCTGGAGCCACTGGGGCTTGCCTGGCACCAGCCCCTCCAGCCTTGGCTGTCCCCCTCTTCACAGCAGCAGAGATTGAGCTGTCCTAAAACAATGTCGCCTGTCTTCATGCTGATGTTAAGGGGAATTTTATTGGTTTCACCGTGTATGTTTGGGCTTGGTTTGTAAATTTGCTTTGGCTTTATTGTATAACAGTCATAGTGGGAAGGAATTTTATATCCGTCCACATGTGAATAACTGGATAATAAAGATAATTCAAAATCAATCGTTGGAGTTCTTTGTACCTTTTTTTTTTTTAGTTTTAAAGGGATTTGCACCTTACGAATATGCAAGAAGCTCTTTATTGCTTCATTCCGTCCTTTCTTCAACCATAAGCCTCTGCTTTGCCCCATGTGTGCCGGGCCTTTCCCGAGGTCCCCTACCAGCAGCCCTGGCCTCCCCCTCGTCTAGGGCCCTGGTACCTTAGAGATGTCCACCATCGAGTTCACTTGCTCCCGGAGCTTCCGGTGTTTGAGCCGAACCTGGCGAAAGCTGTGGGGAAAAGTGGGAGTCAGTTCTCCTACACCCTGGCCCCTAATCTCACCTTCTCTCGGGGACAGGCTGAAGGCAGGCGAGACCCACAAAGACCACTAAGACAAAAAGTACTGAAGGGGCCCGAGGAGTGCAGAGGGGCTCCGCCCCCAGTGAAGAAATGACTGCACACAGGCACAAGGCATCACCATCAGACCCCAGGACATCCAGCCATGCAGAGAGGTGACAAGAACACCCACAGCAGGTCCTCACGTGTAGATGGTGGCCAGCAGCTTGCGCTGATGCCTGCGGGCGGCTGCCAGCTCCTTCCTGCGTGTGTGTTTGTAGTACATCCAGGCCTCCTGCAGCAGGCGTGCAGCCGACTCCTTCACCTAGTGGTGACAGCACAGGGTGTCTAGGAAGAGGGAGCAGGGGCCTGGACACCTGGGAACTCCCGGGGGCCTGGATTCCCGGCTCTGGAGGCGGGCTGAATGCTGGGGGCCCCGACCCACCCTCACCTCCTTGGCATAGTGGATGTCCATCATAAAGTTATGCACATGCTTCTCTGCTTTGTTGAACTCCAGCTTCCGAGCCACCACGGCCACCAGCAGGGCTGTACAGCACACCCCCTGCAGGGACAGCACACACAGGAGCATGAGCCCAAGGGACAATGGGCCTAGCCCTGTGCCACCTCCCTCTCCTGGAACCCTTCCAACAGCCGGGGTAGGGACAGCTTCAATCACACCTGCTCGCCTAGGAGACACCATCAGCAGAGTGGCCTCTCTAGTTAGGGCATGACTAGAAGAGGGAGGGGATGGCCAGCTCTGGTCTCCTTCCTCTTAGACATTCACACCTCCTTGGCCATCAGTCATGGGTAAGTGTCCCTCACCCTCCTGCCTCTTCCCAGCTCTGGCCCTGTCCTCTCCCTCCTGTCCTCTCCCTCCCGGCCCCTCCTAGGCCATCTCTAGCCCCCCAGCCACTCTACCCTGACCTCAGGGAGACCTGCTGCCCTCATTCTAATCTGTCCCTGTCCCCTCATCCTAATGCCTGCCTGGCTCCACCTCCCTGCCCTTCTCAGCATGGCTCTCCCTCTGCCCAGCCCTCCTGCAGCATCTTCCCCTCCTTTCCATCTCCCAAGGCTCCTGATCTCCAGGCTCTGGCACGTAGCCTACTTGTCCTGGAGGTACAATGTCCCCTTTTCTGCAGCGCTCCACCCTGGGTGACCCTGCTGTCCCTCACGCAGCACACTGCATGAACCACATACATTGGCTCTATTGGGTCCCTGGTTCCTCATCTAGCTCTGAGCCAGCCATTCAACCTCTTGGGGTTGGTTTTCCATCTGTAAAATGGGCATGCCCTCCCAGCATCACCACAAAGCACTTGGGGCAGGGACTGGCACAAGCACATGTCCAGTCAAGGGAGGCTATAACTACTCCATGGCACCTCAGAGCCTTCAGGCCAGGAGGAGCGGGCAGTTCTGGTTCACACTGTCTTATCTCTCTAGGCCTCAGTGTCTCCTGCTATCAAATAGGGGCAGAGGTGCGAGGTTGCTAGCCTTGGGGAGTGTTCTCCAGGTTCAGTCTCTGCCTCTGTTGTCCGAAAAACAGCTCTGCCACCCTATTCATCACCTGAGGACCCAGGGCTTAGAGACTCAACATGTCCTTCTGCGGCAACATGCGGGGCAGTGGGCAGCACAGTGTCAGTTTCTGGAAAAGAGCTGGTGCCTAGACTCCCAGGTGCTGGGGGAGGGGGCAGGAGTGTGGCAGGAAGGAGGAGGATGTTGAGACTCTGAAGGAGGCTGACTCTGCGAGGAGCTTGAGTCTGAGGCTCGAAAGCCCTTGCCTCATCCCTGAAAGGACAGAAGCTGAACATCTGGGATTTTACAATAACAAGGCCCCCAGCTGCTTTTCCTGAGCACTGTTTATATGTTAGGCCCCTTTGGAAAGCCTGTACTGTACATGGCTTAACTCAGAACCCCATGAGGAGCATACTAGTATTGACATTTCCATTTTACAGATGAGGAAACTGAGGCCCAAGGAGATTATGTGACTTGCCTGAGGTCCCTAGCTGGAAAGTGGCAGAAGTGGGATTTGAACCCATGGAGCCTGGCCCTAAAAGCATGGTCCTGGTGATGACCCAATACCCCTGATGGAGGCTAGGAGACTGGAACTCTGGATCCTGGAAGAAAATGGGCTGGGAGGTCAAGGGCCTGGATCCCTGGGAGGATGAAGATTTAGGTATTGAAGAGCAAGGATTCGGAGGCAGGATTCCTTGGTCTTAAAAAGAAATGGGAGGGGCTGGTGAGATGGCTCAGTGGTCTAAAGCACCTACTTAGAACAAGCTAAGCTAAGCAAAGCACAGGGACCATGGTTCGATCCCCCAGCACCACATGCCAGCCAGCCCCGACCCCTGGTGGGCTGAGTTGGCTACACACAAAATAAATAAATATTTGAAAAAAAAAAAAAAAAAAGAAATGGGAGACAGATATGGTGGTACATGCCTGTCATCCCAGCACTCTGGGAGGCTGAGGCAGAAGGATTAAAAGTTTGAGACCAGCCTAAGAGATTTATAATTTGCCAAGAAAGACCTTATGTCAAAATAAAAACCAGGCTTGGAGATTTAGCTCAGTCCAAAGACCCTGGATTCAATCCCCAGTATTAAAAGGGGGGAGCATGGAGTTGGGTGTCTGAATCCTGAAGAGGGAACAAGGCCGAGGGAGGTCCAGACCCCCAAGTCTCTCAGGTCTCCTGCAGAGCCTGTATCGGCTGTGTAGTTTCCAGGCCCTGAGGCTGAGCGGTGTGGGTAGGGCTGGGGTCTTCGGGGAGCCCACTCACCATGACTCCAGTGCAGAGGCAGACGATCTTGCCCCACATGGTGCCGGGAACCACATCCCCATAGCCAATGGTCAGGAACGTGATAGGGATCAGCCACAGGGTGTCCGAAAGGTGCCCGGTGGCATTAACTGCCTGCCTATGGGAAAAGGTAGGTTAGTTCTGAGCCCCAAACCTGCAGGGGTTGCTCCCCCCTCTCCTATCTCTTCTTTCCCCTCCCCTCCCCTTCTCTCTCTCTCTCTCTCTCTCTCTCTCTCTCTCTCTCTCTCTCTCTCTCTCTCTCTCTCTCTCTCTCTCTCTCTCTCTCTCTATATATATATATATATCCTCCACCCCAAGAAACACTTGAGCAGAAAGCCAGTAAGTTCTGGACTTCACAGATTCCCCCCCTCCGCCGCTGCCCCACCCCCAGCCTCCACCCTGGCTTTTCTACCCGCTGTGTGACCCGGCTGAGATGCTCAGCCCCTCTGGACAGTGGGATTTGGCCCTGAGTCTGGCCAGTCCCAATGCATGTGTGATTGCAGCCGGGCTACTGCCTTCAGAGTGTGTGGATGAGGGCAGAGAGGGGGCTCAAAGCCAACCGACCTGAGGTTTACCTCTTAGACCCTGACACGGGGCTGGGTCCACCAAGCAGAAGGGCCATTTTTCTAATTTCTTCAAAGAGTCTATATGGCCTACAGGTGGGACCCTGAAAAGCATGTCAGGGTTCTGTCCTTTCTCCTTATTTTGCAGAAAGGGATATTTAGGTCTGTCCACATGGGAAAGTCAAGGTTTGTCTAACTGGGTCCAGATCAGCAAAGGATGCTTCACTCACTAGAGTCCCAGATGTTGTGGCCCCACTCAGCTAGCGTATCTACGTGGCTAACCAGCTCCACACCCCTCATTCCCAAGCATATTCTAGTCAGAGGATTCTGCATGGGGATTTGGGATTTAGACTCCTCCCCCATCCTCCCATTTTCCAGAGGACAGGCAATGTTTAGGTTGGGGAGGGGTCATTCGTTCATTCATCCTGATTCTGACTGATGCTCAACTGGGACACAGAAGACACTGAGGAATGAAGGAGTCTGAATTCATAAAAGGATAGAGTTGTTAGGGTACTGTACAGAGGACGGAATTCGACACCCATTATACAGATGAGGAGTCTGAGTCTCTAAGAGGAGACATCCAAAGCTGGGTTTTTCTCATTCTCCAACTTGCCTTTGGAGTCCTTTGCTAGATTCCGAAAAGCAGAGGTTCTCTAACTTGGGTGGGCATCACTTTAAAACACTGCTGGGACCTACTCCCCAGAGCTGTGGATTCCACGGGTCTCTGTGAGGCCTGAGAATCTGCATTTGCAGCAAGCTGCTGCTGTGGCTGGTCCAGGAACCACCCACACTGCCTAAGGCAGCTCTCAGGCCTTCCTCCTTAAACAGGGGTGAGGCTCTGAAAGGGTAGAAGCTTCGTTCAAAGTCTGCAGCCTCAGCCAGGAAGCTGGTCCCAATTCCCTGCAGGCACTTCTCCAAAGCAGCTCCAAATCACCCCTCTCGGCTAATTTGGGAAAGATGTCTCCGGCCTCCAAGGCAGAGGCAGCCACTAGTCAGGTCCCAGAGTGGCTTCCGAGGAGGAGCAGATGCCTGGAAAGCTGAGGCAGGCGGGCTTGAGAGGGGTGTGTGTGGGTGGGTGGGTGGGTGGGTGTGGGTGGGTGTGTGGGTGTGGTATGGAGGGCTGGCTGAGGGAGCACGTTTACTAATCCAGCAGAGAACAGAAGCTGGAAGTGTGAGCTTGCATCGCTGTTGGCCTCAACTTGCGCCTCTCTTCAGGGCTGCCTCCGCTGCGCTCTGCAGCCTCAGGCATTCCTCGCCTCCCACGCCCCAGGAAGCTCTCACCTCTCTGCCACGGACAGCACCCAGGCTGTGGTGAGCCAGAGGCCAAGCGTGAGGCCCAGCAGCAGGCGGCCGGGATGCGTGTTCATGTACAGCTTGGCCACGAACCAGTGGCGGAAGCGGACTTGGTTGAGGGCGCCGATGCTGCGGTAGGACGCGTTGAGCAGGACGCCGCTGCGCAGGAGTACGGCGCGGGGCACCAGGTAGAGGCGCAGCAGCATGGCCAACGACAGCAGCGCCTCCCCTTCGCCCAGGAAGCTCGGCCAAGCCTGCGTGGCTGTCCGAGGCAACCCGGAGCCCTGCGCACAAGGCGGGCCCCGCACGGGGGCCGGGTGCAGCCCGCACACCGCCAGCTCCAGCAAGATCTGCGCCGCCTGCCGCCGGGTCAGCGCCACGCGCCAGTCTCGGAGCCCGTTGTCGGTCATGAACAGCTGCCGGGAAGGGCGGACAGGGGAGGGGGTCAGGTGCAGGTCAGGCGGCGGCCAGCCAGTCTGTGCCCCGAGATAAGGTGGGGCGTCGCTGGCCCTGGAGGGGGAGAGAGAGCGCAGGGCGTGGGGCTGGGGAGGGCTGAGGAAGAAGAGGGCAGGACCTCAGGAGGACTTGGCCCTGCCTGGTCCCCTCCCCTGTTTCTGCCCAAATCCAAAATTTGCAGTCCTGGGTTGGGGTGCAACTCAGCGGTAGAGCACTTGACCAGCACACAAGGCCCTGGGCTCCACCCCAGCACCATGGGTGGGGGTGGGGGTAGAACTTACAGTTCCTTGGGCACTAACTGAGCGCCTAATATACACCTAGTCATGTTCACTAACTGAGCGCTTACCTTGTGCCTGGCCACGTTCTATATGTTGAGGCTTGTCCTGAATGAAACACTCTCTGGAGTCTACATTTACGTTAGAGGCCTCTCCTATCCTGGCTTCTGGGGACTCCAGTAGTAATTACCATAGCAATAACAATAGCAAATGTTTGCAGTCTTTCTTGATATCCTGACTCTACGAATGCTCGCAACACTGATATTACCACCATCCTTTTATAAATTTGGAAATTGAGGTTCAGGTCTCTTGAGTTGGGAAGTGGGGCACTAGGCTACAAGATCAGTGGTTCAGGACAGTTCACTGCTCTTTCTTACACATACACACACACACACACACACACACACACACACGTACAGGACATTTGCACTGGCTACATCCCCAGCCCTTTTTTAGTTTTGACTTGGAGACAGGGTCGCACTAACTCACTAAGTTGCCCCACCTGGGCTTGAACTTGCGTCCTCCTATTTCTGCTTCTAGAGTGCAAATTACAGGTGTGCACCACCACGCCCAGCTTAAAACTGTTATTAATGAAGGTGTTAATGTGTACTTTTTACCAAGTGCCACTTATGGGCCAGGCCTGTTATGTGCCAGGGTTACCACGCATGGCCAAATATCTCCATGTTATATGCCAACGTATGGCGCAATAGGACATGGGGAGATGGAAGGTGGGATGCATTGAGGTGAGCCTGCAGTGGGAGGGGGTGGAGGTGCAGGGTGCCCAGGTTGGGGTGAGATTGGCACAGGGATGAGGAACCCAGGGGCAGGCACTAGGTGGCACCTCGGGTGGCCTGGGACTGGAAAAGTCTGGGGTGGAGTGGACAAAGACCAGCGGGCAGAGGCAGGGGAGACGGGGCTGGAAAGGCAGGACCCCTCAGCATCCCGGACCCTGTGCAGGAGCAAGGCTGTGGGCTGTGGGTTAGGGAAGGGCTAAGGCTTCCCAGAGAGCTGCGGTGCCACTCTCCACCTCTGGCTCCTCTTCTCCCAGAGGACATGGGAGTGGATGCAGCTCTGAGTGGAAGAGCTTCATTACTCAGATCCGGAGGAGGCGGTGGTGGATGAGTGGGCTACCAGGTGCCTAGGGCTTGGGGGTCCTACCTGGATCTCTTTGGCGTGGAAGGCCACAATAAAGCAAAGCAGCAAGATGGTGGACACGCTGATCATGCACTTAACCAGGAACAGGTAGAGCGCCCACTGCGGAGGACCAAGAGCCAGTGAGGTCCAGGCCTCCAGCCAGCCGATCCCTCTGCCTTCCGTTGAAGCCCCTGCCTTTTTCCCCTTCCCTATCTCCAAGCCCCAAACCAGCTCTACCTGAGGTCTGCATTTGGAAGAGGCCAAAACCATCATCTGGCCCCCAGAGAGATGGGCCTCCCCTTTCCTAAATGTCAACCCTAGCCCTTTCCACCTTCCTCTCAGCATTTCTTAGGAGACCCACATCCAGGAAGGGAGACCTTGAAATTCACATTGTTTGTCTTCTGTCTGTTCAGGAAGAAGAGTTGCTCAGCTAGGTGTCCAGAGAAAGACAGCCCGTCTCTAGAGAGCGCCCCTTCCCTACCCACACAGCTGCTCCTGCCCCAGAAACCAACCTCCACTCCCTCCTAATTCCAGAAGAGCTGAAAAAGTATCATTCAGTCACAGAGACATGACCTGCTTTGCTGCTCATGTGGGGACTGAACCCCTGTAACCCAGCTCAGCTCTCAGAGCCCCCCAGTCTTGCCCCTGCATTTTCTCCTCCCTCCTCTTGCCCTGTCTCCTGGCTCTAGGCCCAGGGCAGATCTGGCCGGAAGCTCGGGGCCTCCAGAAACTGTTTTTCCTCTCTTTGTATAGCAGTACCTTGGAGGAATCTAGAATTCTGGAGGGAAAGATTTAGAGGAAACTGGGAGTGCTGGGCTTCCTCAGATGGGTCACTCTCTGTTTGGGGGATGTTGTCAGGGGAAGGGGGCCACCTGGGCGTCCTACTCTGAGCCCTGCACCTGCTTCTCCTAAGTTGCTGCCAGCTCCCCTGGCTGGGCCCAGGCCAGGGTACCGCCTCTGAGCAGAGGAAGAGGGCCAGTTTCCTGCGCCAGGGGGCCCTCCCCTCAGCCCTCCCGGAACAATGGTGTCGTTGTCTCCAGCCTGCCCCACCCCCTTCACCTTCTGGGGCTCCTCGGTTCCCTTTCCCTTGCTCCAGTGGGATGCAGCCCTCACCCCACTTTGCAGTGCAGCTGGCTTCCCCGGTAGCCACCAAAACGGTGGGCCCTTGGCCCCTTGCTCTGCTTTCCGAATTCCCCCTTTTCTGGGGTGGTTGTTTCTGGCTCCAAGATTTGAGGGTCTCTGTCATCAGCCTGTCTCTGTGGGTCTCAGTGGTGTCTTCTTGTTCTCTGGCCCTTTCTGTTTGCCCCTGGGACTGTCCCTGTCCTTCACTGCCTTTGTTACGGTCACCTTTTCCTCTCTGTGTGTCTCTGTCTCTCTCCCAATCTCTCTCCAAGCCTTGCCCTCCCCCACAACCTGTGCCTGGAGTCCCATCTGTATGCCTTGTCCTCCCAGCCTTCTGCACCTGCCTGTCCTGCAGCCTCCGGCCCAGGCAGGGAGCAGGTGTCAGGGCCTCATACAACGAGTCAATCAGACTGCAGTGGAGGTGGGGAGGAGATGGGGAGTCACATGGCAGGGGCAGGGACAAGAAGGGAGCTGAGGAGCAACTTGTTGCCCTGGACTCGAACTCTCACCCTAATTTTGCAGAGCTAAGCAGACACCCCCCCTCCTTCCCACCACCAGGGGCCCAGGCCTGGCAGGTGGTCGAGGGGCAAAGGCTTGTGAGGTGGGGAAGGGGAGGAAGAGGGACAGGGAGGAAGAAGCCCCTTGTCCCTCTTCCCCTGCCACCATGTCCCTACCTCCCCTGCTGGGTGCGGTGGCGAAGCGTGGGAGCGGAGGGCAGGCCCCGGCCATGCTTCCTGTTGGCATGAGCCCGGGTGTCCCACCCCCTCCATGCTGCTGCCCTCTCCTTGCCTGCCTGGACAGAGGAAGCTGGCCCGCCTTGACCCTCCTGCTGGTCACTTCAGAGCTAACCACTTCCCGATCCCTGAGTCTGAGGCCCGGCTTGCAGGACCCCAGAATCCTCCCAACCTGATCCTAGAGCCAGCCCCCTCCCAGCCCACGGCCCAGTTCTGCAGCCTTTGTCCCAGACAGGGCTGTAGGCTCTCCTTTCCTGTTGAGCAACTCTGTCCCCCTCAAGCCTGATGTTTGATCCTTGTCCCCTACCTGCCCCTCTCATTGCCTAGACCAGAGCTACAGTGTTCTGGGCGCCTGCTGAGACTTGTTCCACCCCCTCAACTCCCCACTGTCCTTAAGAGTGGGCACCTCTTTCCCCTAGACTTTCTCAGCCTCCTCCTTCGGACCCCCACCCCTGCGTCCCTGGGGTCTGGGAGTCCGGGCTACTGGAAACTTGCCTCTGCATCCCCTTCTTCCCTGATCTAAATGGCAAGTCAATTCCAGGGGGGCACTGCACTACGATAGAGGTGGGGGCATCTAGCTGAGGTTCATTTCCCAGCCCGGCCCCCAGCCAGTTCCTTCTGGGCTCTGGCCGCTGCTGCCAAGGGCCGGGAACTGGTGGTGGAGGGTAGATAAGAAGCAGGGAGTCTCCCCTGCCACAAGAATTTAGTCCCTCTCCACCCTGCAATCGCCAACTCCAGCTACCAGTTCAGCCTTCTCCTGGCTTTCCCGGGCTCAGACCTCCTGTGGTCTGATCACAGCTTCTCAGGACCCCTCCTCCCTTCCTTCTGCAGTGAGGGTCCCCTGAGAATCTGACTCCTTCAGGTCTTAGGTGTCAAGATCCCCCATCCCTTGTCCCTTAGACCAGGAGTCCAAGGGTCCAGCCCCACCTCCCTCAGACGCAGGGTTCCAGACCTCCAGTCTCTCGTGCCCTAGGGTTAGTGTTCCACTCACCGGACACCCCCCGAACCACAGCATCTCCGCGTGCAGCACCATGAGTCCAATGCCAGTTCCCGCCAGCGCCAGCGCCCAGCCAGCCAGCCACTTCTCCTCCTCCAGCAAGCGCTTTCGCCTCCGAAGGGCCCCCAGGCCAGCCACCGGGTCCCCGCCCATGGCCCCTGAGGTCTTGAGGCTCAGCCAGCTTCCTGCCCAAGGTCCCCCACCTCGCAGTACACAAATGGCAGCCACTTTGGCTTCCAGGCCTCCAGCTGCTCAGCTTGGCTGGGGCTTCTGCTCCGAGGCAGAGGCACGCAGAGCCCTGTGCCCTCTGGGGAGTGGTAACGGCTGCAGGGCAGGGCAGGAGGGGCGGGGAGGGCCCAGGGTAAGGGGAGGCTCCCCAACCCCCCTCCCAGACTAAGGAGGGGCTGGGGTGTGTCTGGGTCAGAGCGGGGAAGAGGCATCCATCCACGTGGGCAAGACACACACTGACACAGAATGAGCTGCGCCTAATACGGGCTGCACCTTGTGACACACACCTACACCACCCCACACGGGACACCCCATGGCCGGAGATGGATCCTCACACACTAAGGCACACTGCACAACCTACACCGAGTGACTCACAGCTCCCGAGGAGCTCTGAAGCCCACAGCCACACCCAGACGCCACACACATGGTGTGTGACACACACCGGCACTTAGCTGGGCAGGCAGCAGCGTCCCCTGGCACACGGACTCCCCAGACATGGTCCACACACAGGCACGAACGTTAGATTCAAACTTGCGGCAGCAGAGAGCCACACCCTGACACCACACACAGGGTGATGCACACCCGTGCCGCACAGCAGCGCTCCCTAAACACAGTCTGGATGGACAGCCAGACCCAAATGCCACCACACACAGCACACACGTGTAAACAAGCCACTTGTGAAGTCCCAAACACAACCACTCCTGGGATGTCACCTGATATTGCAAGCACACAACACTCAGAGACACAGCTGTGATAGCCCTGCCCCCTCCAGGGCAGAGAAATGCACACAGAGAAGTGTCGTGGTCACACATGATCATACACATGCAGCCATCACGATGAGTCACAGTACACACTGATTCATTCACTCAGACACACAATATGCCCTGCACAAAATACGACTCTCACAAATGGTCAGAGAGCAGTATGAATGGACACATGCAGAGACCCACAGTATACAACACAGGGGCCCGACAGCACATGCCCACGGCCAGATAGGACACTGTATTGTGGCTACACAAGATACAACCCAGGATGATGTCCCCAAAGGGCAGGAATCCAGGTGGTATAGACATGGACCCCAGGGTCCTAATGTGTCATGCATCATTGTCTCTGACCCACAAGCCACAACTGAATATCCCATACGATGCCTGTATACGCTATATTCCAACATACACGGTCACACAAACACAGCAGACAGAGTAATACAGATGCAAGGGGACACAGAACACAATACATTTCCCAAGATTCACAACTTTTCACAAAGACCGCCTATCACGTGAAACACCCGATGGTGCTTCAGCTTGGGACAGCATCCCACATGATGCAGAGGAGAAGCGTCACCCGCGGACGCACAAACACAACACACCCTACATAGTGGGCACCCAGACTGTGTTCTTGACAGTGAAAAAAGAGGCCCCTGAGGGGTCTCCTACCACGCAGGTGATGCAGGCTACATCGCTGAGTGGTATGCAGTGTCACACGTGGAAGACCACAATGCATGGACACACAGCAGCGTGGCGTGGTGCCCAGTGACTTCCAAAGGGGCACACAATATAGGATGTGACAGCACACAATAGTACAAAGGTAACACATGGATCTATACGCTGTATATTGAACCACAAATCCAAACTCTCCCATCACAAATTACAGGGACACACTAACGTGGTCACACACAGCACCTGGCAGAGTGGTACACTCTGACCTTGTGACATAGCAGGTGGCCTCCCCAACCTGCACTTAGAAGAACATGAAGATGCAGCCCTTCTCACCTCCCTGTGCCCCACGTCATGCAGTACCCTGGCCCGCCAGCCACAGGGAAACAAGACACTCGGACAGACATGCCTGGCAGCACACCAACGCAACCCACACGGACACACCCAGAGACACCAAACCACACACACAGACACACCCAGTGACAAAAACACAGCCGGTGGGGGTGCCCTGCCCCATGGCACATGCACAATTCCCATTCCGGTGACACACGGTAGAGGGGGGTGGAGGCACACCCAACACCCAGACTACACTTTTGTGTCTGCCGATGAGCGCTCTCTTGAGCAGCCAGCACCCCAGCTGCTCCTCACAGTCCCTGAGCCCTGCAGCCTTCCCCTCCCTTTCTCCTCCCTTTCCCCCTCCTTCCTCTCTCCTCTGCAGTTCCTTTCTTAGGGTCTCCACTCTGGAACCTTAGGATTTGCCTTCCCTGTCTCCTGTGTTTCTCACTTTCCATTTTTCCTTCTTTTCCTCCCAATACTGAGGATAGAACCCAGTTCATATGCACTGAGCCATATTCTTAACCCTTAAAGTTTTTTTTTTTTTTTTTTTTTTTTGGCTGAACCGGGGAATGAACTCAGGCCCTTGCGCTTGCCAGGGAAGTGCTTATTCCACTGAGCCATCTCCCTGGCCCTAAGATTTTTTTTTTTTTTAATTTTGAAATAGGGTTTGCTACATCCCAGAGGCTGTGCTCAAACTTGTGCTCCTCCTGTCTCAGCCTCTCAGAGTACTGGGATTGCAGACCTGCACCGCTGTGCCTGGTACAGTCGCCATTTTTTTCTCCCCATGCCTGTATCCTTTCCCTCTCAGGGGCTCTCTGTGTCTCTCTATCACCAGGCCTTTGTCTCTCCCCACCTCTCCTCACTTAGCCTCTCAGTCTCTTATATCTTTGCCTCTGTCTCCACCTTTGATTCCTCCTTTTTTTTGGGGGGGGGGGTACCAGGGATTGAACTCAGGACCTTGCACTTGCCAGGCAAGCACTTATTCTACTGAGCTATCTCCCTGGTCCCTCTCAGTTTTGCTGTTTCATTCTTGCCTTGTCAGTGTCTCTGCCTCCTGCCCCTCTGTGCTCACCATTCTCTGTGTCCTTGTCTCTGTCCCCTTTATACCTCGTTCTGTTTGTTTCTGGGGCCGTTTCTATCTCTGTTTCAATTCATAGCTCTGTCTCTGTCTTCCTCTCTCTCTATCCCCAGGTCTCCCTCTTATTGCTGCTATTCCCCAGCACCACCTTGTTTCTTCCAGATCTACCACAGCTCCACTCAGGGGCTGAGAACCAGAGAGAGACTGCAGTTTCCTGACAGGTGAAAGCCACCATGCAGCCCCAGCCCCAGGTTGGGCACTCTTGAGAGACAGCACAGAGACTAACAGAGAGGAAGAGAGAGAATCAGAGACCCTGGAGGGGGAAGGGAGTCAAAGCGGGCCAGGGTGTCACGCAGTGTGTGGTACAGCATGTGTTTGGCATGCTCAAGGCTGCAGGTTTGTCCCCAGCACTGCAGAAACAAAACAAAACTCAACAATAAAAAATCTAAGGCAAGGAAAGAAAAGGGATCCAGAAAGGAAGAGAAAGAAAAAAGCTTGAATCAAGACATAGAATTTGACTGTAGGGAGAAACTGGGTCTCCAGATGGACCATGACTGAAAGAGAAGCAGAAAGTGGAAAGGAGGTGCCCAGAGGGTAGTGGGAAGGGTCCTGGGGCGAGCAGGGTATCTGCGTCTGTATAGAAATTCTAAGCAGTGGGATCAGTGGTAGGAAACACCTCTTTAAAGCCAGCTCTCTCCAGTTCAGGGAGGGGCCAGCACGGAGTGGGGGTGACTCAGGGCCCCTGGGCTTCCTGTGACTCAGACTGGGCTCAACCCTTAAGTGAGAGTGAGGGAGAGAGGGGATCTCTGTAAAGAGGGGACAGAAAACACCAGGGGACTTCAGAGTATAAAGGGAAGAGGTCAAGAGGCCAGGGTTTGGGCCTGGCCTGGACCCCTGCATCTGAGGGAGAAGGCTGGGCCTGGATCCCTGGGTCTGAGGGAGGAGGTTGGTCATAGACCTCTGAGTCTGAGGGAAGAGGCTGGGGCTGGACTCCTGGGGCTGAGACAGGTGGCTGGGCATGGACCCTGAGTCTGAGGGAGGAGGCTGGGGCTGGAACCCCAAGTCTGAGAGAGGAAGAGCTTGGCCTGGATCTCTGCCTTTCAAGGAGGAGGAGGTTGGGGCCTGGACTCCTGGATCTGAAGGAAGAGATGCTGGTTCCCACACTTCTGGCCCAGGAAGACTGGGAATAACTGATTCCATAGTCCCCAGGACTTTTCTTTGGCTTTGTCCCAACTGTCCTACCTTGTCCCAGCCTCATCTCCGGGCCTGGAAGTGACCCAGGTGCCTCAGGGCCCTGCCGGAAGGGGCCAAGGACAAAGGGTTGTTTAACTGGCCAGGGTGGTGGGGGGAAGTGAAGAAGCGGGTGTTCAGAAGGAAAGGTCACGCGTCGCCCAGGGCTTGTGCAGCAAAAGGAGAGGCTGAGCCCCAGGGAAGACATCCTGAAAGTCGGAGGCCTGTAGGCCTAAGCCGTCTCTGGGACGGTCACGTTTGGAAGCTCCAGGGAGGAAGAAGACTCCCACCTCGTGGTGACTTTCGGAACTGCAGGCACTCTGCTCGTTCAGCTTCTGCTCTTGCCAACATACAGGAAGTATATAGAGCACCTACAGATGGCGGACAAAACTGCTCTGAAAGTTGGGGATTAGTAATGAAGAAAACAGACAAAATCCGGGCCCTCATGGCACTCCCAGGCTGAAGGAGAGGGACCTCGTAGTCCCGTCAAAATCAATCTTGCAATTTTCACTCTGATTCTGCCTTTCTGACTGGACTTAAATTTGCTATTCTATCTCCAAGTCTTAGTCTAAAAATACACGTCTTTCTCTTTTTCTCCAGTTTTTATTTTCTCCCCTTTTTTGTGTTTTTGAGACAGGGTCTCACTATGCTGTTCAGGCTGGCCGGGAGCTCACTTTGCAGCGTAGGCTGGTTGTAAAGTCCCACTGAACCTCCTGCCTCAGCCTCCTGAGTTCTGGGATTACAGGTGTGTGCCACCACACCCAGCAGTATGTCCTCCTTTATATCTGTGTTCTCCACCAACTGACACGCACACGGCTATCATAAAGCTACCACACGCGCGTGTGCGCACACACAGGGGTGCAGCTACACAAGCACACAGAAGCTGGGAGTCCAAGGCCTCTGTGTTAAGCCTTGCACAGCCACTGGCTTTGTCTCTGCGTGGAATGTAACATACAGGCAGCTGTTCAGAGGCAGCGCTGAGGCCAGCGAGCTGCCATCCTGCGAGCTCTGTCAGGTGGAAGTGGCAGACAGGCGTTGGGAGGGTGAGTGGGGTGCGGGAGGGGAGCTCTCAGCACCAGCCTGGCCTGTGTCAGGCACTTGTGGGCTGCCGGAGTCCTCCGCCACGTGGCTTCTTCTGTGAGGAGGCAGAGCCAGACCTGTTGCTTCAACCTGGCTGGCTTGTGACTTTTTTGTTTTTGTTTTTGCTTATTTGTAGTGCTGGGAGTTCAACCCAGTTCTTCGCAGTGAGCTACGTCTGTGGGCCTTTTTTTATTTTGAGACAGGCTCTTGCAAAGATGCTAGGTTGTCCAGACAGGACTGAAATTTGTGATCCTCCTGTCTCAGCCTCCCAGGATGCCAGCACGTAGCACAACACCCGGCTTGTGATTTGCTTTGACGGATAGAGTGCAGCTGAAAAAATGCCAACTGCAGGTCCTTGTTAAGGTGCCAGAAACTTCCATTTTCATGCTCTTAGAACTCTACAAGCACTATGCTGTGAGGAAGCCCAGGCTTATCCCCAGAGAGGGGCCATCTGGGAATGATGCGGCTGAGTGAGGACTGCAGCTCGGGCTGCAGGATGCAGCTGTGTGAGACCTCAGGAGACGCCAGTGGGAGGGCCCAGACAACCCTCAGAATCGGGAGAAAACATGGTTTTTGTTTTTGTGCACTACCTTTTGGAGTGCTTGGTGGCGTAATAATGACACATGGTGTACTCTTCTGTTCCTCTTAGTGTTCCAAGTTTTCCATGAAAATTATGTGTGTGTGTGTGTGTGTCTGTGTGTGTCTGTGTGTGTATGAATGTGTAGATAAATATTGCTATGGCTTATATCCAGATGTGCCCCTAAAGTCTCATGCAGTCATAGATGGGACTTTAGGAGCTTGCCGGATTTAGGGTGTGTGAATATGGATTAAGGGTGTGATACTGGGTAGCAACAGTCAGTAGATCTAAAAAGGAATAGAAAAGGACAGAGGGAAGGCAGGCTTGCTGCCTCTGCTCGCCATGGACTGATCCTCCTCGGCGATGCCCTCTGCCAGGCTGCTCTGGCTTAGAGCCAGCCTCCTAAGAACTGAAACCTCTGTGAACTCTGGGCTACAGAAACCTCTCCTCCCTTAGCTTGGTGGCAGCTGATTTGTCTCAGCGGTGCAAATAGTAACTAAGACATACATGGATATGTCTATAAATGAGTTGGTAATGTCATTGTTGTGCCTAGGTGTCTCCCCAAAGCCTCCCGCAGTCATTGGGGCGGCTTCTAGTTTGCGATTAATTCATGATCCAATGCTGGGATTATGGGAGTGAGTGCTGCTGGGATTACGGGTGTGAGTGCTACACCCGGCCAGGGCAGAGGCCTGCGTGCAATTTGAGTAAGCCAGACAGCAAGGCCGACTTCCGTTGGTGCGCTTGCTGCTCCTGCAGCTGCCGCACCTCCCACCGCTGCGCCTTCTTTTGCTCTCCGCTGTTCTCCACCATGTGTCACTCTGCCTTGGAACCAGCTGAGCTTGGACCTGAAACCTCCACTAACCATGAACTAAACAAACCTTTCCTTCCTTCCTTTGGGGTGTCAGGTATTTTGTCCCAGCAATGCGAGAAAAAGTAACTGAGGTAACAATGGAAACGGCACTCCGTAAATTAAATTCCTTTTGCTCCTTTTTTTTTTTTTTTTTTTTGCCTTTGATCCCGTCTTGGTCAGCCTCTGCTGTCTCACAATTTCTCATCCTTTCCTGTCTCTTTCTGTGTTTGAGCTGCTCCCGTCTTGTCAGAACTCCTCTCCCCTCCTTCCTTTGTCTTTGCTTTCCTTTACCACATGATCTTTTGGCTGATCCTCAAAACTGCCAGGCTATTTTTGCCTCAGGACCTTGGCATTCTCTGCTTCCTGGGCCTGACTGCTTTTCCTTCCACTCTCCTAAGTCCCTCTCGTCATTCAGTTCTCCATTCAAATATAATTTCTTCCTTGATCATTTCTTCAAAAGTGCCCTTACCGTCCTCTCCCATCACCCCTTGTCCCATGCCATTGCCCTGTCTTGTACAAAGTGATGCTGTTTTCCTCCGTCTATCAGTGTTTACACACGGAGACCTCGCAGTTCGCAGTGTGTAACATAGTGCCTGGCCCATCATGGGTGCTCGGTGAATCCTTGCTGAAGGAATGTTCTTGTTCCGTAGTACTGCCCGGCTCTTGTCCAGCTGTGGCCTCTAGTGCTCCCTGCACTGTCTTGGAGGAAAAAAAAAAAAAAGGCCACATCTCTCTTTCCCTTTCATTTGCACCCCGCCCCTTTCGTTGAATTGTTCCTGGAGGTTCTGAGATCCAATACTATGGATCTGTCCCTGTCCTTGGTGCTGACCCAGGCTTCCACTTCCCTTAAACTGGGAAGGGCGGGGACTTGGTGCAGGGGAGGACTATGAGTAAGATTCAGGCTTTGCATCATTTTCATCACCTTAGGAGAGCTCTGAGCGCTCCAGGGAGGGCGTGGATGGGTTACCATGAGTTCAGTTGCATTTGATTTATCTATTTGTTGATCTTCCAGGCCTGACACTGGTCTGGCTATGCTTGAACTCCCAGACTCTAGTGTTTCTCCTGCCTCAGGCTTCCAGGGTATGTGGCCCAATACCCACCTATAAAATAACATTTTCTTCAATCCCAGGAATTGAACTCAGGGCCTTGGACATGTTCTACTAAACCCTTCAGTTGATTTTGCTTCCCCTCTCCCCCGGCACTAAGAATCAAACCTAGGGCCTGAGCTACATCCAAGTCTGTTTTTTTATTTTTATTTTTTGGCAGAACCAGGGATTGAACTCAGGCCTTTACTTGCCAGGGAAGCACTTATTCTAGTAAGCCATATCATACTGAGCCATACAGGCCCTTGTTTTTTTATTTTGTATATTTTTGATTTATGTATTTTGTACAGGGTCTTGCTACGCAGCTCAGAGTCAACAATCCTCCTGTCTCAGCCTCCCCAGTTCTGGGATTACAGGTATGCACCATCACATCCAGTCTTGGTCAGCTAGGTGGGCCCAGGGCAGGATAGGTAAACCCAGGTCCTTGTACTTGCCAAGCAGGCGCCTAGACTGCTGGCCTATCTCCCTGGCCCTTCCCTTTAAAAAAAAATTTCAAACAAGGTTTTACTAAGTTGATAAATCACCTGGGCTGGGCTTAAACTTTCAATCCTTCTCTACCTCCACACTCCAGAGTGCTGGGACTACAGATAGGTGCTAGCCTCAAATGTACTGTATCTATGGCTCTGCCTATTTCCTGTGTTATTTTAATGCAAATTCCAGAATGATGTCATAGTTATCATCGTATTTAAATTTTTCTCCTGTTGAAGTATGACTTATACATGGCAAAATTAACAGATCTTAAGTGCGAGGATTAAGTGCAATTCTGCCTATTCATGGACATATGTGACCACCTCCTAGGTCACGCTATCTCTGTCTTCAACACACTGTCATTCTCTCTCTCAGAGGCAGTCTCACTCTATAGATCAGGCTGTCCTTGAACTCACAATGTATCATAGTCTGGCCTCACACTGGCTGCAATCCTCCTGCCTCGGCCTCCTGAGTGCTAGGATCACAAGGGTGCGCCACCACACCCAATACTGACACATTCCCTTGTACCCTTTCCCAAGTAACACACCAGATATACCTGGTGTTCTGATCTTTACCACCTAAGTTACAAGGCCAAGACCAGCCAGGCTATGTGTGGCACTGTGTCATCCCAGCTGTTGAGAAGCTGAGGCAAGAGGATCACAAGTTCAAGACGGGCTGGAGTAACTCAGCGAGGCCTTATCTCAAAACAAAATAGCAAGGGCTGGAGATATAGTTCAATGATAGAGCACTTGTCTAGCATGCTGAGACTCTGACTTCAGTTCCCAATACTACAACCACTAGAAACACGAAAAAGCCAACACACAGAAATTAAAAGGCATTGACTATTAAAAAGAAAAAGGGGGGCTGGTGAGCTGGCTCAGTGGTCTAAAGCACCTACTTAGAACAAGCTTAGCAAAGCACAGGGACCGCGGTTCAATCCCCCAGCACCACATGCCAGCCAGCCCCGCCCCCTGGTGGGCTGAGCTGGCCACACACACACACACATACACATAAATAAATAAATTTAAAAAATAAATAAATAAATAAAAGGCATTGACTTTGATTCTGACTTTTTTTAAAAAAATGAAATATGCACTAGATGCAAAAAAAAAAAACCCCATAGAATATCGAGATAAATTCTGAACAAATTATAGTGACTCTCCATGGAATCAGAAGGCACACCAAGGAAGAATACTACCCTGTATTGCCCTTTGGGATCAGGTCCCCTCCCAACCAACCTCACACAGAAGGAGCTCCTCCTGTCCCCACTCTGTCCACCTTGGGACCCTTCCCATTGCCAGATCTTCTAGGCCAATCACCTCCTTTGCTTACTGTTCAGTCCCTCTGGGGGCTGTGGCCCTCTGGCCCTACTATGTCGGCGGTCAGCCAAGACCTCTTCAAGGGCAGGGGTCTCCAGGGTCACCCAGCACAGAATGAAAGATGAATGTTTGTTGAATTCCCCCTAAGATTACTTCTCTCACTGGATCTCTGTCTCCACAGGGGCTTGTCACTTTGTCTGGAATGCCACTCCCCTCCCTCCATCTGGCATGCTGTGAGAGCTGTCCCCAGCCTCTCCTCCCTATGGCACCATCCTCATTGTGCCCCCCATGCTCTGCTGCGACTCTTGATCCTGCTCAAACCCCATCGCAGGCTTGCAACTGTCCGAGGGTGGCTCTGTGTCTCTCCTCACACTGGGCACTCTTCTAGATCTAGGACTCACCTCTGTGGCCTCAGGGGCTAGTCTATGGCCAGGAATAGGGGAAGATCTCAATCAATGAGTGGTGGACGCGGATGCAATGTGACGTGGGCTTGTGACAGTAGCCCCCCTTGTATCGGGCCACTTCTGTGTCTCAGGCGCTGCAAGCGGGTCTCGTCACGTTCTCCCCACAAACACCGGGAAGCAGGTCCTGTCATCATCACGAACTTTACTTTCACCTCCACCAGACAGATGAGGAAATGAGGCACAGGGAGTATAAACACCTTGTTCCTGGTCAGCCCCCGGCTGAAGGACAGAGCTGGGATCCCACCCAGGCAGCCCAGCTTCTCACAGTTAGGAAACAGCTCTCTGTGCTACTCAGGAGGAAGATGCTACTAGAAACACTATGCTGGCTGTTCTACAGCTGTGACAGGGAGCCCAGGAGACTGTGTGGCAGTGCCTGGTGTGAGTAACACCTACTATCAGGACTGGTCTTCAGGTGGGTGGGACTCGGGTGACTGTCCCACCCCTGGGAGGCAGTGAGAGTGTCCAGTTTCTTCCAGACCTGCTGACCAGCTGCAGGCAGGGTAGGGGTAGGGAAGCAGGAGGGAGGGAGGTGAAGGACTATGGCTGAAGGGGCAGGAGCAGCCTCTGTGCACTGCATTTGCCAGTGGCCACGACAAAGGCTGACACAGTGAGCAGCAGGTACAGGGACCGGCCCCAGCATCCTCTATGTGGAGAGCCCCAGGGATCCTCCCAGAGCACTGGCCAGCAGGGCAGTCACAAGGACCAGGCCCAAGGTGTGGGGTGCCCCAGGCAGAGTGGGGGCCGCAGACATGAAGACATTCAGGGGATCCCTGTTGCACAGGTTGCCCTCACAGCAGGAGCCGTGGAGGTAGATGTCTGTCCAGGGGCTGGTGGTACCCACAGCAATGCAGGAGGGCCGGTGGCAGGTTCGCAGGTACACAGGGACTGAGAAGTTGCCTGGGCCGGGCAATGAGCAGAGGTCAGAGCGAGGAGGCATCTACGCCTGAATCTTACCAGACCTAAGTCTCCTCCTGAGGCAGGAGCCCTGGTCTCCCTGTCAGTCTTGGCTGGTGCGCTACCCTCCGTCTTACCCGACCTCCACATCCCTTGCCCAGCCTTTCCACCTTTCCGGCTCCTCACCGGTGTTCATTCGGCCACTGCCCTGGTAACAGACGCTCTGGTCCTGGTGACACTGCACTAGGCGGGATTTCTCCACCGAGCAGTCCTCGGGGTGGATCCCCAAACACACGTAGCACTCCGTGCCGCTGAGCTTCTGTGGGTACGGGGCTGCCAAAGAGTGGACGCGCGCACCTTCAGCCAAGAGCTCCCCGCGCTGCGCACTGCACCCGGACACTAGTCTAGCCCACAGTGGAGGCTGGAGCTAGCACAGCCGGAGAAAGTGCTAGACGAAGGCCACGCCCCACTGGCCCCTTCCTGCTTCCCTCCCCCTTACCGCTCCCGCACACCTCGGCTCAGGTCTGGGATGATGTCGTGGCTCTGGAGGTGGGTGTTGCAGAAGTCAGCCGCGCAGCCACGCACCACTGTGTAGTCGGGCGGCAGCGCTGTCCGAAGCGACTGCATGTTACCGGTCATCGGGCCCTCCCAGCAGCCCTTGTGCACCGCGGTCAGCGGGGTGCGATACCCTGGGCGGTGGGAAGAGGTGCTTTGAGCTCTGCACCCGACCCACCTCGCTCCCTCCCCGACCCACTCCACTTCAGTCTCACACTTCACGCTGTGTTTTTCCCTTGAGCCTCTTTCTCTTCCTCCACCCACCCCCATGCCCCACCCATAACTACTTTCTGTTCCCTTTGAGTCTTACCCTTTCTCTCTTCTTTGTTTCTGTGGCTCTAGTGATTGAACACACCCTCATTACCCTGAGCTACATCCCCCAGCCATTTATTTATTTATTTATTTATTTATTTATTTAATTTTGAGATGGGGTCTCCCTAAATTGCTAAGCTGTGTACGTTTGCCATCCTCCTGCCTCAGCTTCCGGGAGTGCTGCGATCGATCGCAGGCCTGTGCCACTCCCCCTCCCGCCCCTTTCCTTCCAATTCTGCCAGACCCCCTCTCTTTCTCACTCATCCTGCTCCCCTCCCCATGCCCTCTATCTCTTCTCATCTTTGCCCTTCTCCTCCCTTCTTTTTCCTCCTCTCTTCCACCCCTCACCAGTGTCCAGGGCCATCACAACTTCAGAGCACGCATGGGGACAGGAGATGTTGGGGAGCGGCATGGCATGGAGGTCGAAGGGTCCAAAGTAGATGTGTTCCATGCTGTAGCACTGCAGGGCTTGGGACCCTGGGGGTTGAGAGGGGAGGCGCTCAGCCGGGCCCAGACCATCCCCAGCCCTGCAGCCCACCCACGCGGCTGTGCTCTGCGGGAGCCACCGCCTGTCCTGGGAATAGGGTCCACAGCTGCCTCTGGTTACGGCTGCAACCCTGTTGATACAGCATAAGGGACTCTGCAGCTGCAAGCCGAGATCTTCCTTCGAACCTTTCCAGATCCCCACCCTCACTGTGGAAGCCCTGGGAGATGGAGATAAGGGAGGAGGAAGTGGTTCACTCCCTCTCGCTTTGCCCATCCCTTTCCATATTAAACTGTCACCGCAGGGACAGAGCAGGGCTCCGCCAAGGGCTGAGGGAACTGGGAGCAGTGCCACAACTCACACGCTTAGTTGGCCCAGCACCACCCACAGGGACACAGCTCCTGCTACAGCCCCAAATACACAGCAGGACACAGCCCATGGTGGGACCCTGCAGGGTGGATACCCAGCACCCAAGCACACTGAGGTGGGGCTGGGAGGATGATGTATATGACAGTGACACATGCAGAGGGACCGGGAAGCACATCCAGAGAGAGACAGAAGTAGGAGACAGGGAGACTGAGAGAAAGGCAGACTCAAGAGACACAAATGCACAAGATCAGAGATATGTGGAGATCAGCCCATAAAAATAGAATTTAGAACCATTTATGTGTACAAAATAAATGCAAACTAAGCAATGCAGATATGCATAGAGGAAAACACACATCAAATACTCAACACATTACAGAGCACTCCCCCAAACCGGAAGTATACAAACACACAGTGTTGTGAGCACACCTTCTATAGAGACCATGAAGTTGAGAGATAAACAGATTTGATAAAATCATTTTTTCTACCCAGACATTGAAATTTGGTTCAGAGAGACACCAGCAAGGAGACTTGTAAGGACACAATGACACACACAGGAATCAAACTCTCACAGGTATGTACAAGCACAAATTGGTTGTGTGTAAGAAGACAGCTGCCAGAGAAAATGAAAGATGGGAGGGATGGGTGTGTGCATGCTGTGGGGAAAACACAGCTTATCCCTAAGATGCAGGGTCCAGGCCCAGCTTCCTCCTTCAGACCAAGGGTCCAGGCCCAGCTTCCTCCCTCAGATCAAGGGTCCAGGTCCAGCCTCCTCCCTCAGAGCCAGGGTCGAGCCTGGTTCCTCCCTCAGATCAAGGGTCCAGGCCCAGCCTCCTCCCTTAGACCCAGGGTCTGGCCTGGTTCCTCCCTCAGACCAAGGGTCCAGGCCCAGTCTCCTCCCTCAGACCAAGGGTCCAGGCCCAGCCTCCTCCCTCAGACCCAGGGTCCAGGCCCAGCCTCCTCCCT